TTTTTTTTTTGAGACAGCCTCAAGCTGTCCCCCTGTATAGAGTGCATCACAGCTCACAGCAACCTCCAACTCCTGGGCTAGTCTCCTGCCTCAGCCTCCCAAGAGACCACAGGTGCCCACCACAACGCCCGGCTATTTTTTGGTTGTAGCCATCATTGTTGTTTGGTGGGCCCGAGCTGGATTAGAACCCGCCACCTTAGGTGTATGTGGCTGGCGCCTTAGCCACTTGAGCCAGAGGTGCAGAGCCGTGTGTATAAATCTTATCTGTCCCTAAGGAGGTTTTTAAATTCTTCGAGGACAGGAGCCAATTTTATTCCCATATTCCATCGTCACTTGCACCTTTGGGAGGTTACGGTGAAGGGGTCTGGGGTCTTCCCGCCTCCACCCTCTTATTTACTTTTATTAGTTTTTTTACCATGGTAAGCTATAAAATCTCTCTGGTTATTGTAGGAATTCAAAATGATAGTGTGTGATAAACATTTCAGAGTATCTGGCAGTGGATAAAGGTCAGCAGTTCTTTTACTCTATTATATTTTAACCTCAGCAATAGGCAATAGAAAAAGTTAGTTTAAGAAACAGCAAGAGTGAGGTTTTTACAATGGGAAAAATGAAGGCAGGTGAACCAAAGAATGACCTGGAGCCATTCTGGATACTTCTGAAGCTCTGAGCCGATATGAAGACCTGGGGGGCAGGGGGGACAGGTGGGCATTCCTCAGCCTCAAAATCAGAAGGGCACCAACTACCTGGGGCCAGACACTGGGGAGAAAAAAAGCCTGAATTACATTCCTACTATCTACAAATCAAAGGTACAAACATCTCTTGAAACTAAGGTGTGGGGGTTAATTTACTACTAAGAAAAATTATGAAAATGGCAACAATTGAGAACCAGTTTTTACTTTAAAATACAAACAATGCCACCATTATTGGCTTTATTTATATCACTGTCTTATTTTATTTTCATCATCACAGAAGTGTTTGTAAATACTTCGTAATACTCAAATGCAAGCAGTCTTTTCTGACTCAAGAGTGTGAAGAAGTAAAAACCAGAGCCCAGGTTGGCAGGACTCACTAAGGTCTCTTTCCACCCGAGGTGTAGAGGGATAATGAGAGGACTCCTGAATCACAGACACTGTCAGGCTCTGTGCAAGAGGCAGAAGTGCTAAAGGCTGGTCATTTAACCTGGTCATCTAGCTGGTAAATGGTGTCAGTGGTGCAGCCTGGATTGAAGATCATCTTCTCAGATGCTTTCCACCCTTATACTAGGGTTCTCAAACTTGAGAGTGCATGATAATCACCTGGAAGACTTGTTAAAACACTTTGCTGGGCCCACCCACAGAAGTCCAGGATGGCAGCTCAACCTCAGCTGTGAGCTGGTTACAGATGCACAATACTGGGCCCCACCCCAGGGCTTGTGAATCAGAAACTGTAGGGTGGGATCCAGAAATCTGTGTTTTCACAGGCCCTCCAGGAGATTCTGATACACTGTCAAGTTTGAGAACCACTGTCCTAATGGCTCATATTATACATATTCCTTTTATTCCTAATTATTCCCAACAGGAGTGACTCCACTGAAGCAAACATTCTTCCCACTGAATTAAAAAGTATATTGATGGATTTGTTCATGTTTTGCTCGGGGTGTGAGGCTGGAAAAAATTATTATTAATGGAGTAATCTTTTTGATTACTTTAAATTTGTACTAAAATTTAACCAGATAATACTGGGGTAGGAGTGGAACTAATCTGATTTGAGAATTCCTCTGTGCCAAGACTTTACATGCATTTTCTATATTAATCTTTACTACACTGCTGTGAGGTTTTGTGGTCGTAATTTTATAGATGAGCATAACTTGAGACTTGGGTGAAGTAATTAAGGGCAACGTTCTTGTTAAGGGGCAGAATCAGGATTGTTCAAACAAAGATCCCTCTAATTCCAAAACTCACGTTCTTTCCACTGTGTGACTGGAGCCTGGAGAATTAAATTACAGTGTGGGTTCCACCACCAGCTATGCAACATTAAACGATTTAATCTCTATTTCAATTTCTCCATCTATAAATAATGTTATCATAAATCTGCCCCTCCCACACTGGAATGTCAGAACAAATGAGGAAATGAAAGTGTCAGCACCTTGAGCTTTTTGAAGAAAAGCAGTAAAAAAGCAAGTTATGATGATATTGTATGTTTGGGCAGGTGTTGCTATGTGAGCCCAGCATGGATGTCTTTCCTAGTTATCTCCTGATTCGTATAGAAGAGTGCCAAAGAAAAGGTTGTTTGGCTTCATTTTCTAGTGTCTCCTGGAGATAAAAGAAGATAACGGGTGATTTTATGCATCTTTTTTCAAAATTATAGGGAATCTCTCACCAGGTTCATAAGCTCCAGGTTGTTGCCAAATTGCCGGCCCATCCTCATCCAAGAGAGATCTTTTAGCCAATCCCTTCTCTTCTGTCAGTTCCAGGTACCCCTCTATCCATCTGTCTCCATTCATTAGGGAAGATTTGAAATTCCTGGGACTTTATCATGTAGAAGGATTTAACTCTCAATCCTCTAGTCAAGCCAGACTCCAGGCCACCTTTACTGACACAATCACCAGGTTGCACAATCCCAAGGGGTGCCATTCACAAGGAATACAACAAGGTGAATGGGTGAATGGGGCTCAGGACACGCCAGATACAAAGGATGCCCCCCGGAACTGTGCAAGGTGGCTGTGCAGAGCTCCCACACCAAAAATCCATTAAGGTGTTTTGTTAAACAAAAGAGCCACCTACTCAGGTGTCCACCCCTGGCCAACCTTTCAAATAATGGGATTCTTTGTTTTTTGTTTGTTTTAACTCAGACCTGACCCTAAACCACCAACACCCACCTGCCCCCTCCTGAAGCTCCAGGTTCCACACTCTGCTGTGGCGTTTTCACTCTTGCTACTGATCTGCCCACTAAACTTGAATGTTTCTGAAAACTTTGTTATACTTTGTCTTCCTCACCTTCTATTTATGCTTTGAGAAACATTTGTTTGGAATAAGAACACCATGGACTAGTATATGTGAACTAGCATAAATATAGATGGCAAAGATTTGCCAAATAGCCCTCAAATATGTTGTTTGACCCAGAGAGTTTTGTCCCAAGAAATAGAGTCAAAATCTTTAAATTGAGAAATGTCATATAGGAAAAAAAATCCCAATTTCTAGCATCTTTTGAAATGTACATGCTCTGGCAGACACCTGCATGCTTCCACAAGACCTCAGTTCCTGAGCTGAGACGTAGCTGCTGCCTTCAGGTGGCAAACGAGTTGTCTTCACCCTCACTTAACACCGTCCTGGTAGACGCTGAGTTTGGGGCTGCTGGTCTGTGGGACCATAGGGACATTTCTGAGAGTACAGAATTTTGTTGTATACATTTTACAGGTTTTGGCTTGGTGCCCATATCTCAGTGGGTAGGACGCTGGCCACAGGCACCAGGACCGGTGGGTTCAAACCTGGCCAGGGTCAGCTAAACAATGACAACAAACAACAAAAAAATAGCTGGGCATTGTGGTGGGCACCTGTAGTTTCAGCTACTTGGGAGGCTGAGGCAAGGGAATCATTTAAGCCCAAGAGTTTGAATTTGCTGTGAGCTGTGATGCCATGGCATTCTACCCAGGGTGACATAGTGAGACTCAGTCTCAAAAATAAAAAAGATTTTACAGGTACTGATAACTATTTATCCCAATGTATTTTCAGGTAATTGTAAATTATTTTTCTGAGGTAGCATATTGTGGTACCATGTTGCACCATTTCTGAACGAGCAAGATAAGCACAGACATGAAAGTACAAACATCGTCATGACCAACATTTGTATAGAATTGTAGCTAATGAAATTTGCCAACTGCCTCAGAAATAGAAAAGACAACTAATAGCAAATATTTCAATAAATGTGATGATGATGACCAACCCTGTGAGGTATGATCAAATAGTAGCAAAAAAATTCATTTTTTTGTAATTATTTTTTTATTTTGGCCAGGGCTAGGTTTGAACCTAGGATATGGGGCCAGCGCCCTAC